CTTGAACCCAAATCGGTCCTGACGTTAATGACGACAACTCACCATCAACCGTGCGTCGTGATAAAGCGTCAGCGGCCCTGTTTTCTCGGCCCGGCTTATATAAGATATCGAATTGATATGCTTGTAACTTCGCTACCCAATTCTGTTGTCCCGGGTTCGTAATACGTTGTTGTAGCAAAAATCAGAGACTTTTTTTATCTGTATACGCACAGAATTTCGTTTCCAAAAGATACGATCGCCAATGTTGGACGGCTAACACTAACGCCATAATTTTCCTTTCATAAGCGGATTTCGCTAAGTTTTGCTCACTCAACGCCTTACTACAATAAGCAATGGGCCTTTGTTGTTGTATCAACACTACTCCTATGCCACATTCCGAAGCGTCACATTCGATTATGAAAGGAATCAAAAAATCCGGCAATGCTAAGACCGGTGCCGTGACCATAGCTTGTTTCAATTCATCGAAGGCTGATTGGGCTTTCGGACTCCATCGGAACGAGTTTTTCTTTGTTAAATTAGTCAGTGGTTTGGCGATACTACCGTAATGACGAATAAATTTACGGTAGTAACCCGTAAGACCCAAAAATCCACGAAATCCTTTAATCTGTTTTGGGACTGGCCATTCCAAAACAGTTGATATCTTCTTTGGATCCATTGCCACACCTTGTCCATTGATGAGATATCCCAAATAATCGATCGACGTTTGTCCAAACGAGCATTTTTTCCAATTGACCACAAATTGATTTGAGACCAAAATGTGAAGAGCCGTACTCACATCTTGCAGGTGTTGAGACAAAGAAGGGCTATAAATTAAGACATCGTCAAAGAAAACCACAACAAACTTTCGTAAGTAAGGACGAAAGATGTCATTCATAATAGCTTGGAAAGTGGCCGGCGCATTAGTGAGGCCAAAAGGCATCACTAAATACTCGTAATGGCCATCGTTAGTGCGAAACGCTATCTTCTCGAGGCTGTCGGGTTTCATACAGATTTGATTATAACCAGATTTTAAGTCCAACTTCGTAAAGAAATGGGCTCCGGATAATTCATCAATAAGCTCATCGACCACCGGAATCGAAAATTTGTCGGGAATTGTGGCTTTGTTAAGAGCATGGTATCAACACACATTCTCCACGAATCGTCTTTTTTTCGAACTAAAATTACCAGGCTCGAGAATGCACTTTTACTAGGGCGGATCATCCCTAACGTCAAAAGTTCTTTAACCTGTCTTTCAATCTCTGCCTTCTGAATATGTGGGTACCGATATGGACGAACACAAATCGGAGACGTAGGAGACGCTAGAGAAATTCCATGATCATATGAGCGAATAGGAGGAAGACCCGTAGGGTCTCGAAAAACAACCGCAAACTGCTCTAATAGACATTGTAAGTCAAATTGCTGCTCCTGAGATAATGTGTCGTCGTCCTGTTTACTCGACTCCCCAACATGTGCAACATCCCATAACCTCTTATGAGGTTCCTCTAACTTCAACCAAGTGTGAAGAGAAGCTTGCTTAACCTCCGAATTAGATAACCCCTGGATACACACCGAATTTCCAACGAACAAAAATCGCATTGACTGAGTTTTCCAATTGTGTACCATTTCTCCCAATGTTTTTAGCCACTCCATACCCAAGACTAAATCGAACTGTCCCATTTCAAAAAGCAAAGCATCCACCACAAACTCACAGCCGCTAATCAAAACCGGCAATTCCGAACAACGTTGATTCACAAGAATCATATGTCCGTCTCCCAGAGTAATGTTGATACCCGAGAGAGACGTTATTCCCAATGTCGTGACCAATTTATGGGATACAAAATTATGTGTTGCCCCACTATCCACCAAAATTACAACCGGTATTCCCGAAATAGCACCTTCGATCTTCAAAGTTTTACCTCCCGATTCTGCCGTCACTGAAGTGCCCTGATACTCCAATACCGTACACGACCCCATCGTTGGTGGTTCCACTTCGTCTCCCGAATTATCCTCCAATACCTCCATCGCCCTGATTTCCCCACTATCATCGACAATTTCATCATCAGCCAACAATGGAACTCGCAATTTACCCTCTGGGCATTTGTGAGCTGGACCAAAGGTTTGACCGCAGCGAAAACATAATCCCTTCTTGCGGTGATCCTCCCATTCAGTACGAGAAAGAGATCGAAACCCTCTGTTGCGATTTCCTGTTGATATCTGATCAGAGAACGTGATCGAAATAGGTCGTGTAGATGAAATCGATGGATTAGGTACTGATCTACTAGGATTAAACCGAGGAATTGAGCCTTCGTCGTTAGGCCCAGAATAAACATATCCTTTAGCATCAGATCGGCCCAAAGGCGACTTCAGGTCGGAACGAAAATTCGATCCAAAACCACTTCCTATGTTCTGATAACGAAAACGAGATTCGGAAACAGTTATCGAAGAACACAACATTTGTTTAACATCCTTAGCCAAATACCTGGCGTCCAGACGGGATTGAGGATGATGAAGTCGAACCCAACGTTTTACCTCATCGCATAAACCAGCGACGAAATATCCCAAGGCTTGGGACTCTGGCAAACGAGGAATTAACGACAATAGGTATTCAAAATCTTCGATGTACTCATGAATGGAGTTTAGCTGCTGAAGCGTTGCCAACTACTCATAAGGATTCTGAATCTCCAACCCGTTGAAACGTTGTAAAAGCTCTTTGGTAAACTGCTCCCACGATAATGGTACATAGAGCTCATTGACAATAGAAAACAAATGTTGAGCAACCCCCACCATGCTCAATTGTGCCAATCGGATGCGTAATTGAGGGACAATTCCGTGGATCACAAAGTAGAGTTCCGCTTTTTTGATCCAACCTTGAGGGTCGAAACCCGAAAACTCGGGTAATTTCACCTTCTTTGTTGCCCAAGGAAGATGATCAGATGACGATCGATCCCCCTCCTTATCAAAAGGAGAAGTCATTTTTCGGTGTGAGAAAAATTTTGATTCATCCTCCTTCTCGAACAAACCAGATTGGTCTCCCGGTCCATCAACCGAACGTCTGTCCTGATCCACTTGATCCGATTCCACATATTGAATGACCGATTTGATCTCGGTCATATCAGCTTGAAGTTATCGAATCTGTTCCTCATGACTATCCAATCGATTTTGCTCAGAACGAGGGACCATTGTGAATTCCGACAGATCAATGGCAGGTCGGACCAATGATATGAAGTCAAATATGAGAAGAACAGAAAAGTAGAAGATGGATAGAAACGAAGGTTTGATTGCAACTAAAAACGGAAAATTACCAAAACAAAGATGATCACCGAACCAGGAAAACTTCCCTCCCTCATAGCGAGGAGCTATGAGCCACAAGTAACTGTAGAAAAATAACCGAATGCCTACAAGCTAAAGGTATTCCCCCTATTTATTAGACATTCCCAAAGCAAGGTAAAACTAAACCTTACAACTAAACCTTGTCACTAAACCTTATCAACTAAACCTTATAAACCTTATCAACTAAACCTTATCCTTTCTTGGACCGTCTTGCACATACCTTTAAAACTTTGGGCTTGAGTAAAACATCCAATTTAGGACGATTCCTAACATAGATTCTCTCTTTTCTTCAATAAGTAGTACCTCCTCCCATTTCTCTCTTTTCTTTTGAATGACGGCAGCTGCTATGATCACTATGCTTTTGTCGGCAATATCATAAACTTTGTGAAGGCCACTCTCCTTGTTTCTAATCACTGTCGTGACCATAAACTTGTCATGACGGACATATTTTGGATAGCCTAACCATTTTGGATGAAATCTCCAGATGTGATCACCGATGGTGGAGGAGGTTGGGGAAGTGATACCTGCTTTAGATAGGTGGCTCGTACCTCTTCTCGAATGGTAGAAGAAAATTGACAATTTTGTCCCCATCTCTACCAATTTGTGATTCATCAAAGAGTCTGCTCCTAGATTTGTTGATGAATACGAGAGATGGTGGAACGTACTTGAACTAGCTCCTCTCCACGAATTCTACCCTCTGTGAAAGCGTACTAAGGGCCACGGATTCTTAACAACTTTGATACAAATTTTTTATGAACTAGGTCAATTCAAACAAACAAAGGAATACGGAGAGCGATGGTCATATGCATTTAATTGTAGAAAGAAAACGGGCTTAGCTTTCGAGAGGCTAGTCTCTCCTTACAAAATAGTAAATATAGGTTTATGGATGCCTCTTCCCCCTCCCCCTCCCCTCTCTAATTTATACTCCTTAGCAACCACTTTATTCAAAATATCAACCCCCGTAACAGACTAATTCCCCAAAATCACAAAAATGCCCCTTCTATCCTCTTCAAGAATCCATAATGTACAGACAAGGCTAGACTTAAGTGTGCATAACATAGATTAACTACCATAGAAATAAAATATACTAGTTTACATCCCGCAATCAACTCAATAATGAGGCAAGAATCATATTGGTATCTAAACCAGCTATGTGGCATGTTTTAGTAAAGCATGATCACGTACATAAATATCCGAAGGCTTTAACCAAAAGAGACAATACAAACCAACAAGTGCAGTTTATGCAAACTCATGGTTTCATGCTATATAAGGGTCCAGTTAGCAACTTAACTTAATACAAGTCACAATAAAACAACTATTGTGCAAAAGAATTAATTTATTTTTTTTAGTTACAGAACTATTGATATGGTGAAGTCGAAGCAATAAACCAATACCATTGAAGATATGTGATTTAACCATCTAGAAAGTAATCGCAAATGTCAATAAAAATAATAATTATAGATAATTATACCATCCATGACCTGGTAAAGTGATCGTGTTGTACTCAATAGATATCATAAAAGCACGTTCAATACTACATCTCTAAGCCATTCTCTATTATTCTCAAACTCATGACAAATTCCAGATGCCACATGTTTCAAACAATCAAAGAATTCTCAAAGGATCTTTGATATCAGCATGCATTATAATAGAAGGCAAAACGTAATAAACCAAAAGCTCATAAGTCTTACTCTTCTTCTCCTGAAGAATCAACCGATTCCATTGATGGAGTCTTTCTTCCCTAAGAAATAAAAATATGAAAAACAATTGTCAGCCCCCAAGACTCTAGCATCCAATTTGTGAATTAATTATTCACCATAAAGAGAACTTTCTCGTAGCAAGTGACCACAATATAAAATAAGAAGCTACAATCTGAAATCAAGAGGCAACCAATTGAATTTGTGTGAGGATGGTACATGAATTTCTGTCCTTTGTTCATTTCACGATGTTAGCTATTTTAATGTTAAGCCCACTCCAACCAACATGGGTCTAGAGGGTTGTTGCAGTTGAATTGCATCCATGGATAAGTTATAAAGACAAATAATTGTGCCTATCATCCTACACTCGCTTGTGTGTGATATGGTTGGCACATAGAAGATCAACTCTAATACATTCTTTTTATTACATTGGGTGTAACGAACAGTATCCAGTTTGACCACAGGGAGAAAGTGGCGTGATTGTCAAGTTTCTCAATTTCATGGAAGCCTTTTGCAACCAATCGGGACTTATACCGGTCAATGGAGGCATTAGATTTGTATTTGATCCGAAAGATCCATTTACATCCAACAATATTCTGTGATGGAGTTGCTGGAACCAAATCCCATGTGTCATTTCTTAACAAAGCTTGCATTTCCTCATTGAGAGCATGAGTCCAATTTGGATCACACTAATTGGAATGGTGGCAGATTGTACAACGGTGAATGCATTGGAGTGGGATGAAGGTCATGGTATAGTTCCATTGCTGCGAATTTCGGGTTTGAAATTGTGGTGGAGCGCACTTGTCATGATGGGTGGATTTGCAGCTGGTGGAGAGGTTTGCTCTCGACTATTGTCTTGTGAATTAGAAACTGGCAGTTGTTGGGGGATTCTCCAGAGAGGGTGTTCGGTTTGGACAAATAGAAAAAAGGTTGTTTGGAGTTGTCGATGGAGAGGTAAGGGATGGGGGATGGGGGATGGGGGATAGGGAATGGGTGAAGGGCGCGATGAGGAGTGGGTAGCAGTTGTGTTGGAAGTGGGGTTGCGAGATGCAGAAACAGGAGAGATGTTCGTGAGAAGAGTGGTAATTAGGAAAGTGGGCTAGATGATGATGGTGGTGGAGAGGTTTGCTTTTGAAAAGGGAATGAGGTCATCAAAGATTACCTCCCTATTGGTGACGACTTTGTTTGTTAGAGAGTAACATAGATGTTTCTAACGATCGTTTCTGTAACCCAAAAAGACACAGTTGAGAGCGTGGTTCGAGTTTATGACATGTATACTGACGAAGGTTTGGCCAACACGCATAGCCAAAGGTTTTTCACCAATTGTAGTTTGGGGATCGATGATGAAGGAGTTGGAAAGGGCGCTGATATTTGAGTAAGGATGAGGGAAGACGATTTATTAAGTAGGTGGCAGTTTGAAAAGCGTAATCCTAAAATTTGACCAAAATGGAGGCATGATAAAGCAGAGTTAGGCCGGTTTCGACAATTGGTCAATGTTTTTGTTCAATGGACGCATTTTGAGCATGTGAATGAGAGCAAGATATTCGATGGTGAATGTCTAATTTTCTGAAGATTGATGACAACGATAGATACTCACCCTCAATTTAATTGAAAGTATTTTATGGCGATTGTTAAATAGGTTTTCTACTTGTTTGTGAGAAGTTAAAAATGTAGACTATCCGACTTTCTTCATAAAGGAAACAACCAAGAGAATTTAGTGAGGTCATCAACAAAGACAACAGAATATTTTTATCCAAGAGGCCCCTATACATGAGAAAAAACAAGATAAAATGGACGAGGAGACTTTGATGATGAAGGAGGATGAGAGAGCTTGTGAGATTTTGCAGTATGACAACTTGGACATTGGTGTTAAGGTCATGAACCATGAACTGATAGAGAAAACTTGGATGGAATGTATTGAACGGTTCGAAAAGATGGATGTCCATGACAAACTGGGAGGATATGTAAAAGATATTCTTTGTTTTCCATCACTTGGCATGTGAGAAATGGATGTATGTTCACCAAAATGAGTTGCTAGTTGGTGAACGGAAGGCATAACATATAGACAGTTTTTAGAATCCCTGTAGAGTATAGTATCCTGAAAAGTTTGATCCTTCACCAAAAAATCATGGTGAAATTGAAAAAATGCATTATCATAAATAAAAAACGAGACATAAATAGAAGGTTCTTAGCAATGGAAGGAACATGTATGTCGAGTGTGTGACTTTAGTTCTAGTAGACTTAGTTTAGTTAGTCTGTTATTTTCTTTTCTGTTTTAGCCTATAAGTAAGTGGGTCATGTTGTACTTCCCATTTTTCTCATCTAATAAAACTCTACCTCACGCATCCAAATTCTCTAAAAAAGATTTCTAGTAATTTCTTAACAAATTGGTATCAGAGCGTTGTGATCAGAGACATGCTTCTGTTGGTTCTGGACTTCTTTTTCTGTTCTTGATTCTGCGATTGATCAAGTCGACCTGTGTTTTGAAATTGCTCCTTCCAATTGCAATCTTGGCAATCAATTGCGTCAATCTTGAAGTCCAATTCAAGGCAGCGGGATTCAAGGTGGAACGACATCTGAAATTGACGATCGATTGGTCTCTGGAATTGAAATTGGTGATCGATTGGTTTCTAAAATTGAAATTGGCGATCGATTGGGAACCGGCATCTTAATATTAGTGATTGATTAGAGTCTGGCAACTGAAATCGGTGATCGATTGGTTTTCTGGAATTGAAATTGGCGACAGGAATTGGTCATCCTTTGGTGATCGAAAGCACTTGCCTCGATTCAATCAAGATTTTGGTAATGCCTCCACAAATGATCAAGATCGACAAGTTTACTAGGAAGAATAATTTCAGCTTATGGCGAATTAAGATGAGAGCTCTCCTAAAACAGCAAGGAATTTGGAGTGAAAGACCTGCAAATATGGTCGACGCTGAGTTTAATCAACAAGAGAAGAAGGCTCACAGCACCATTTTGTTGTCCTTGACCGATGAAGTGATTTACGAGGTTGCAGATAAGGAGACTATCGTATCTTTATGGATGAAACTTGAAAGTCTCTACATGACAAAGTCTTTAACAAACAAGTTGTTAAAGCAAAGGTTATTTTCGCTTTGATTGAAGGAGGGGATGCCATTGAAGGAACATCTTGACGAGTTAAACTCCATTCTTCTGGATTTAAAGAATGTTGAGGTCAAAGTTGAAGATGAGGATGTTGCACTCATTTTATTGGTTTCATTGCCACCCTCATACAAAAAAAAATTCAACTCATATGTAGTAGGAAGGGGGACAATTACATTGGAAGAAGTTCGATCAAGTTTGCATTCACGAGAATTACGCCATAAAGCTTCCGGAAATGGAACTAAAAGCCAATATGTTGGCTTGTCGGTGGTAAATGAAGGTAGAGAAAAGAGTCGAGAGAAAGGTAAAGGCAAGTGGAAAGGAAGAAGTCGATCAAGATTGAAGGGTTGAGCTAGAAAGTTACAGTTGGAAAAGAATCGGTAACGATTAGAGGTGCTCCATCATTGGGTAGATCCAAAGTTTCCTTGAAAGCTATGGGAAAAGTGATACAACAAGAAGGTCATGGGGTTTTGGTGGAGTTGGGATCGTGTATGGCAGAAAATGAATTAACAGATGATGTTGATGTGTTAAAACCTTTGTTACACGAATATGAGAGGAATTTTAAGATGCCTCAAGGTCTGCCGCCTATATGAGGAAAGGAGCATGGGATAGATTTGAAGGAAGGGACAAGCCCGGTAATGTCAGACCTTACAGATACCCTCATTATCAGAAAGATGAGATTGAGAAGCTGGTTAAAGAGATGCTAGAGGCTGAGATGATTCAGCCGAGTGCAAGTTCTTTCTCAAGTCCCGTGTTGGTTAAGAAAAAAGATAGTAGTTGGCGATTTTGCATTGATTACAGGGCTTTAAACAAAGCCACAATGGTAGATAAGTTTCCAATTCCAGTGATTGAGGAGTTGCTAGATGAACTGTTTGGAGCCCGTGTTTTGGAAGTTGCTCCTGAAGTCGGGTTACCATCAGATTCGGATGAAGGAGAAGGATGTTCAAAAGACCGTGTTTTGTACACATCAAGGGCATTACGAATTCCTTGTAATGCCCTTTGGATTGGTCAATGCACCGGCTAAGTTAGAAGGTTAATGAATGAGGTATTCAAATGCTATTTAAGCGAATTCATATTGGTATTCTTTGATGATATATTGGTGTATAGTAGATCTCTGGAAGAGCATTTGACACATCTAAAGATGGTATTTGATATTTTATCTCAGCATCAACTTTATGCCAACCAAAAAAATGTGATCTTGGTCGAGATAGATTGGGATATTTGGGGAATATTATTTCTGATCAGGGGGTGGAGGTTGATGAGTCTAAAATAAAAACCATAAATGACTGGAAAATACCTAGTACGATTACGGAATTGAGGGGATCCCTTGGTCTTTGCGGCTACTATTGGAAGTTTATTAAAGGATATGGTGTGTTGGCAGTCCCACTTACAAATTTACTTAAAAAGAATCAGTTCTTATGGTCTGATGAGGCTCAAGCGGCTTTTAAAGAACTAAAGCATAGGTTGTCTACTGCTCCTGTTTTACGATTACCAGACTTTTTTGTTATTGAAATGGATGCTTTGGGGTATGGTATGGGAATAGTTTTGATGCATAATGAACAACCGATTGCTTATTTCAGCCAAGCATTGGGGTTGAAAGCTAAGCAGAAATCGGTTTACAAAAAAGAATTGATGGCCATCGTTTTTGCTGTTCGAAGTGGAGACCTTATTTTTTGGGAGAACATTTTATCGTACGAAGTGATCAGAAGAGCCTTCATTTTCTTTTAGAACAAAGGGTGGTTGAACCGGAATATCAAAAATGGGTTATCAAATTGTTGGATATGACTTCTCAAATTATTTATAAGCCAGGAAATGCGACCGATGCTTTGTCTTGTAAAGTAGAAGATGTTGAATGTTCTGGCATGGGAGGACCTCAGTGGAGACAGACTGTTTGAAACAGGAGATTGAAAATGATAAATTTTTGAAGAAACTCAAAACCGATTTGCTGGAGAATAATTTGGTTCATAAAGGGTTTTGAATTGCAACAGGGGTTGCTATTATATCATGGTCGATTGGTTATCCCCAGAAAGTCGAATATGATCCTTTACTATTTGAGGAATTCTATAGCTCGCCTATCGGTGGTCATGCGGGAGAGGATTGTTCTTATCAAAGAATTGCAGCTGAAGTTTTCTGGGTTGGTATGAGAAGGGATATTGCTGAATTGGTCAAGCAATGTGAAACTTGCCAACGAAATAAGAGCTTATCAGGCTCCCCAGCAGCGCTGTTGCAACCCTTAAATCTACCATCTACTGTTTGGGAGGAGTTATCGATGGATTTCATTGAGGGTTTACCTCGATCGAACGAATGAGTTCTACCTTGGTAGTGGTGGATAGATTTAGCAGGTTGCAGGTATGCCCACTTCATTGGGATAAAGCACCCGTTTAGTGCCAAATCAGCAGCTGAAATTTTTGCTAAAGAGATCATTCGGCTCCACGAAATTCCCTAATCGATAGCATCTGATAGAGAATAAGGTGTTTTTAAGTTCGTTTTGGGAAGAGTTATTCAAGCTTCAAGGTACTAAGTTGCAATTTAGTTCGGCTTATCACCCACAGTCAGACGGTCAGTAATGAAGTCGTCAATAAGTGTTTGGAACAGTATTTGAGATGTTGGGTTTCGGACAGACCGAAGCAGTGAAGTAAATGGCTATCTTGGGCTGAATTATCTTATAACACGACTTATCATACTGCACTTAAATGTTCCCCTTTTCGTGTGTTGTATGGTAGAGAACCACCACCTTTATTACGATATAAAGAAGCCTCTTCTAAACTACAGTCTGTAGAACAGGACTTGATGAATAGGGATGAGATTTGGGATGAGGTATGAATGCATTTGTTGATAGCAGTGTCGAATGAAACAGCAAGCGGATTTGAAGAGGGAAGATGTATTTTTTTCTCCAGGAGATTAGGTATTTCCTAAATTACATCCCTACAGGCAAAATTTTCTGATTAGTGGGAACAGCCCTAAGCTCTTGGCTAGGTTTTATGGGCCTTAACAAATTTTGGAGCAGGTTGGAACGGTAGCATACAGATTGGAACTACCAAAGACTGCCAAGAAACACACAGTTTTTTCATGTTTCTCAGTTAAGGCAGGCTGTGGGAAAATGCAATTCTATCAAAGATATCCTGCAACAACTCACTGAGGAGTTGGAATTGAGAGCTGAACAGGAGGATATCGTGGATGTACGTCCCATTGACAAAGGTGATCCTGGTTGTTGGAGGTTTTGGTCAAATGGAAGGGTTTGTCAGAATTTGAGTCTTCGTGCAAGGTTCTTGAAGCATTGTTACAGCAGTTTCCGGATTATCACCTCGAGGACAAGGTGAAGATATTGGGGGGGAGTATTGGTAAACCTCCAATGCATTTTACTTATAGGAGGTCAAAGTAGTGCTCGGTAGTTGGGGTGAATAATATGGGGGGTATTTTTGGTATTTCCTTTGAATAAGAGTCGTGTGTCTATTTGGCTAGGGGAGGATGAGTTGGAGGTCATTCTGTTTTGTTTACCGACATTGTAAATCAGCTTTTGCTCTGCGAGAGTCCATGGCCTCTCGAATGCCAGTGGAATACTTTTTCTAGTGAAATCAGTCCACAGCCAACAAATTCAGAACCAGTGTATAGCACTTTCCTGGGTGCGACTTGTCACCTCGACATTCCATATTTGAATTTTGTGTCTATCGATCAAGAAGTCGGCGCTCAGGTTCCGCTCAACGCTACATATGAAGGATCTATGACTGAGTATGCAGAGTATGAAACTTCATTGCTGCGATTGAGGGTGAGATTCTTAGTGGAGATGTGATGGAGCTACTTTTACTTGATATCGCTCCATTGTTGTTGGGGATTGAAACCCTAGGTGGTGATTTTCCTAAGTTGAAAAATAGGAATACAACTATTCCTATGAAGAAATCTCACGTAATTCCAACAGAGACACAAGTTGAAATCAGATTACATCAAGGCAAACTTCAAATGGTGGCAGACAACAACCTAGGAGAGTTTGAGCTAGTGAATATCTCTCCCGCTGCCAGAGGCCTACCTCAAATTGAAGTCTCATTCAACATTAATAACGGTATCGTAACTGTATCTATCAACGTCAAAGCTAGCGGCTGTGAACAACATATCAGTATAAAATCATTTGGAGGAATTTTTGATGTTCCTATTTTGGAAATATCAGGGGGGTGAGGTAATAGGAACGAGTGGAGATATCTTTTTGGGAGAAGAGGAGTTCAATAACGCATTGTTGGATTATTTGGTGAACGCCTTGCAGAAACTTCAAGAAGCAGCAGAGAAGACGAATATAAAAGTAATGTCAACATTTCAGACAGACGTCAAACCTTCCATTTATAGTAGCAGATGCTTCTAGTGCAAAATATCCAGATATATCATTAACAATATCAAAGATGGAAACATTAGTAGGTACTTGATTGAGAGGGCCCGATACCCTTGTTTGAATTATCTCAGGGATGCTGGTTTTTCAGCTAAGGATATTGATAATTTTTGCTTGTTGGAGATGCAAGCAGTATGTCAAAGGAGCAACAACAGGTTACTGAGATTTTCTGGAAATACCAGAGCAAGGGTGTTAATGCTGATGAGGCAGCTGCTAAGGGAGTGGATCGACTAAGTCGTTTTGGTTTGATCAAGTGTAAAGAGACGGTCGATTGTTGAGCTTGAGGGGCTTGATAATTTTTCCTCGCCCGAAGGACAAGACGATCTTAACTGGTACAACCAGAAAGAACAAAGGACTATTTTAAAGCTGGTATTGTTTCAGGCGAAATTTTATTTGTGTTCTGGTTCTGTAATTGGCTGACAGGGCTTCCAACGACAGTGAATGGAAATGTTAGCGGTCATAGAGTCATAAAACCGCTTGGTGAATCTGTTCTGGAATGTGACTCAAAAGGAAGGACCTGTATCTCGTCCGAATTGGAAGGGTTTGACTTTAATGGCAGCGAGATGTAGTTACCAGGCAGCAACAATTTTCTCTATTTTCTCTATCCACCTTGAGAACAAAGTGGCTCTTTGAGGAAGGGGTAATGTCATGCACCATCTAGAAGCCCAAGCCCATTTTAAGGGATATTCTAGAATAGTTAGGAAGGGATAATTTGGGTATTCCTTAGAATAAATATTTAGTATAAATAGGGGGGTGCAAGGGGCAGGAGTCATGTAGAAAATTTAGTGTCTCCTTTAGGAGAGCTCAAATAGCAGAAACTGTTCCATTTATAGTTCATTGAATCATCCAACAGTTGTTCTTATAAATTGGTCCTTATTTCCAGTGTTCAATCAGTCCCGTTCATAACACCATGGTGAATAATTTGACTAACAAGAACTTAGGTAAGAAGATAAGAATGGATAACAACAATTGATCTTGTTGAAACCAGGTAAGAAACTCAGGATTTGGTATTTTATCTTCACGAAATACTTGGTGGAGATACTGAGCCATCTATAAATCCAAAGAGTTTCTCTCCATGAAGATAGGGAAGCATATGTGCTCTCGAAAGAAGGTAATTGACATTTGACAATTTGATTGAGATCAGTTCTAACAGGGATGATAAAGGGTTTGAGGTATTGGGAGAAGCATTAGAAGAAAGATGAGGAAGAAGCTACAGGAGACGAGGTTTCCACCATATTGTTGTAGGGCTAGGACTCAGATACCACAAAGAGGTCTAGAGAGAAGTAAGAGAAAAGTTGTTATTTCTTTCTTGATTGTTTCAAGAGTGATGTGTAAAAAGGAGGGAGACTAAATACTATCCATTCAGCTAGGATAGATCTCAACCCTTCATTTTCAACATCTAAATTAGTTGTAACAGAATGGTGGTGGTCACGATTTAACAACTATAAACTTCAGCAAAGAAAATACAGCTATATTGATCATGTTTCAGCACTTGGCTTTGTTGGCTATACTACGATTCAGACTTTGCATGAAAGAGAACAGAAAATTCTCTAATTTTGTATAAAGAGGTCTATTAAAACAAACAAGACTTACATTATTCCGTCCCCAAAATGTTGAACGTTTGACGTTACTATTTGAGCCAGTAAATTTGCTAATTGGAGTCTCTGTGCATGATTTGGGAACAGAGAAAGGGTGAGATAGCCCTTGATCTATAGAAGAAAGCATTGTCCCCACTGATCGATGAGACTCACTTCTTGACAACATCCCAGGAGTATCCATCTCATTTTCATTTTCCTTGTTTTGCGAAATATGTTGCTCACTTATTTGAACATTGGAATCTTCGAGATGCTGGAAATCCAATAGATTAGAACTTGCTGCTGGGCTAACATTGTTCCTAGGGGATATAACATCTGATTCATCTGCTCCATATACCTACATTCACAAAAGAAATGCTTGTAGGGAGTGGGGGAGAATAAAACATATAAGCATATTACAATTTCAGAAGTTCATGAAATCAAAATTTAAGAATAATAACAATACATGAAGATGTAATATTTTGACTACAGAACAATGACTTGATGATCAACAAAGAAGGTATCTTTAAGAATTAGAACGAATATAGTGGACAACACGCAGATAATTATACTAGAAGAAAAAAGCAAAGAGGATGTTAGCCACAGGATCTGAGCAGGGAAAGTTAAGTGCAGGAGGAACTGATGGAAGTATAAATGAAGAACATGGTCAGTTGGTTTAATTTTCTCCAAACAATATTCTATCAGGTAGAGAGGCTTTTCAACGTCCAATCTAGAGGAGAGAGAGCAATTAATAACCTTAAACTCATAAAGATCACTGCAAGCATAACCGCTGCTTTCGCTCAGCTTTCCACTGAGTATGCGCTCAGGATCCTCATCAATCTCTTGTTCAGCTTCATTTTCTGCATCATGATAACCATTGTCTTTGGTTTCCATATTTTCATCATCCATTGAATCTTCACTTGCACTATTGTCTATCCGAGAATCTGCTGACATAGAACATTTGAGCATAGCATCATCCTGCTACAACAGCAACAGGGCTAGTCAACAATCAAACCTATATGGTTACAGTCAACAAAATAAAGCAAACCAGAAGAAAGCAGCTTACATCAAAGATATTCTCATACTCCTCAAGTAGAGTTGTAATAATAGCTTGAGCATTATTAGCAGCATTTGCAGCAGCAAGCAGCTGTGCAGAATTATCGCCACTATTATCAAAATCATCCTCCAATTCGCATTCACCAGCTAAAAGAGGGCGTAAGAGTAATGGGGCCATACAAGCAGCAACTGCTGAGGGAGTCATCCGATTTTCAAAAGCATGCAGAGAAATAGTGTGCATCATCTTCAGGATTCTGCAGATGAATGCCACCAATTTAATATACTTAAACAGTTTTTCTACACAAAGAAGAAACATGACTCCCAAGCTGATCCACCTATGCTAAAACATTGAAAGTGGAACATTTTACAAACGCACTTGCCACCAATAGGTAGCTGATCTTGTTTCTTGAGAGGGTTATATCCAAGTTATTTGACAACAAGTTTTAAATCATAACGCAAGAATTCCTCCCTCACATGAATTTGCTAATTTTTTTCAAATTGCCAAACACTAATTTGTTGGTGTTCTTATTCTTCCTTAGCAATTGTACTGCTGAATATGAACAATATACTATGCTTACTCATCATAAGTACCAAGTAAAACTATATTTTTAACTCGATAGATATCAACATAAGAGAAAAGTAATATCAAGAGGAATTCAAATCCTTTTTCCAAAGGCGAGCTATCTATCAAACAAGAATTGTGTGAAGCTTTTTCCTTCTTTCACTTTCACAAAGTAAACCAAGGGTGTGTTTCGCACAGTAATATGCCTGAGGGTATAATAGAAATAGACGGTAACAAAGAAAAAAGGTCACCGCTGCAACAAACGCCTGTTTGGTTCAGGAAATGTTTCCAAGATAGCAGCACGCATGGCACTTACTCGAGCTTCCTTCCGGTCAATTCCTTGTTCAAGCAACAGAAAGAAAAAGAATCTCAGTATACATAGTCCATATACAATAATTTACTTAGGTATTCAGTTTTCAACAAAGCAATTAATCAACAAGTGCATCAGACAAGTCAACTTCAAAACCAATTTCACCAGATAAGTATATGTACAAAATCACTAATTATAAGGAATGGCCTATTTTGAAATTTTTATTGAAGAGAAAACATAAAGAAATGGCCTTCACTTGAATAAAAAAGGAATTTACATAACAATGTAAGAGCAAGAAGCAGCATAGACTAAAAACTATATACATACAATTTTGAGTAACATGCAGATTAATAGGATCTAAGCATTTTTCCTTCCCAATGACAATAAACAAATCAAATATGGGAGTATTTTACAAAGAATTCCAGTTACTCCAGTCTCGATCATAAATAGAATTGTTAGATTGCTTTGACATTTACAGAACTGATATTGTATCTGACAATTGGGTCTCAATTGAGGGTTAACCTCAAAATAGCATGATAGTAAGCTTCTAAACTTAACTGACATACTTATGGACCTCCCCCCTCCCCCTGATTTTAATAAAATTTTGATAAAAATCCATGCACCTTCAGAAAGATGCTAAACTTTTCCTGTAATCTTAATACTATTTTCATCAAATTGTAGCATCCTAAACAAAATTCATCACCCTTCGTTTGTAGGCGTTTGTTCAGGGTTTCATAGGTATCCTTGGGTGCCATTCACTAGGGGGAAGAAAAACATAGAGACAGTAAGGTCTTCACAAAGTGTATTTGGTAGTCCCTGGACTCCCTTATGTCTAGTCTTGGACCTACCTCAAGTGAACACTGCATATGGTGTACTCATTTTATTCATTCCCAGAAAAAATAATTGTGTGATAAATGTATATATATATATACACACACATACACACAAAGGTGCATTCATAAAGGGATGAAGAGGGAAGAGGAAAGAAGGAAATGGACATATAATAGATAATACAGCTTCGCAATAGACAGCCAGCCATGTCGTTTGACTGATCAATCTGAAGAATGCAAAATCGTCATACTAGAAGATATGCTATAATAAGATAGTAAACAGTATATGTGATGACATCTATGAGAAATCAAGTGTCTACTCAACAGATTAGCACATCAACAACTTATAGCTAAGAAAGTTTCATCCCCAGATACTTCCCATTTGATATCAAGCCTACTCTTAGTGATTCCTATTTGATGAAGATGCTCATAGAAGAAAATGGGAAGATGAACTCACTATGAGCTTCCAGTAAAGCAGTGCAGCAGGATGCAGGAACAGGAGATGAGGGTAACTCTCGAAGGACATGCTGCAGATGAAAGAGCTTGAGTAATTATTAACCAAGTCACAAAGCAAGACCCAAGATATGAAGTTTAATCTTCTTTTGTGATTCTTTTTTCTCAAGATCTTCTCTTTATTATTTCTTATTGGTGCTTGGACATATAGAACCTTAACTTGGAATCTCATTATCTGACAGTTGTCTGATCTTATTCCCTTCATCCAAGAGTTTACAATAGAACAAGTAGTAGCATGTAAGAGAATGTCTACCAACTTCCATCTCAAGATTCAGAATATACTGGTCGTGGTATATTCTCTGTCAAAGTCCCATACCAACAAAGGGTTTGCTATTTAGAAAATAATCAATAGATTATATGTCATTGAAGATTTTCACAATGAAACTCAGCATTAGCAAAGACATTCATTAATCATGATTTAAATCAGGTATGTACCTTGACACAGTCACCAACAACATGAGCATCCTCATCAGAACCAAATTCAGTCTTCCCTGTAATAAATATAGAGTAAAGGTTAGCATCCGTGCTACTTAAATGTTGATTGGAATTGAAGTACAAACAAGACATCATAAATTGATTTTTAGACCTGTTTCATAGTCCTGAACTCTCCGATCAACTTCCTCAACATCTGCAGATTGTCTCAAGATTCCTTCTATTTTGGTTCCTGTAACATAAAATTTAGAGTACAAGTTAGCACATAAAGACCGAGCATTTCAGCTCAGCTTCTTATACTATGAGATAAAGTTCCCCATCGTTGTAATCATACCCATATCCCTTTTACATGAATTCATAGAATTTATACATTCAGAAAGAAACTTACCATGTTTCTCAAGAAATCTAAGAGCTTTTTCAAGGAAAGACGGGCCTCCATCTATGTCTTCCAGCGCTAATAATATTGGACGTCCAACAACTAAAGATTTAATTGGTCGTTTGTCCCTCCCTGGACAAAGAATATTGAAAAATTAAATGAATTTTCGTAGACTTTGAGCCTAAGTCAGTTCAACAGAAACATATATTATTCAGTTACAAGTTCCTTTTGGAATTATTCAGTTCACAGTACAGGTCCCTGAGAACAGCTACCTTATCAATGATCCACAATGCTTCCAAATTTTTGAAGCTTTAGTAAGGTGGTTGAATTTCAAGTATTGTTTTCATTCACCTAGAATCAACGATTGATTCCATTTTATATGTTCATACAACAAATTTCCCTCACAGAGAATCCAGGCAGTGAATATAAATAAGACTAATAGCAAAAGTTCACAAACATTGATGAAAGGGCCCTTCAATTGAATCAGTGGTATCATTGCGGAAGATTCCATTATGTCCCATAACAAGAGCTGCACTTGGTGCTTGAGCAAGAGCATGTTCCAGAGCTGTCTTCCATTCATACAAATCCTCAGATGTCTCAGCCTGAAATTATATTTAAGTGTAAATATAGAAAAATAACCTCAAATAGAGATCCCACATACACTAAGCTATCAAGCACATAAATACAAGTATTCAGTGAATAAAACCCATCTTCACCTTACATTTGACAAGGGAAAAGCATAGTAAATAGCAAGAGACAGATATCATAACAACAAAAAAAGATACTCTTCCAAATATGTATCTTCAAACTGTCATGAAAAAACCTTGAGAGTAAATGCGCGTCCATCACGTCCATCAGGGAACAGGACAGTTAACAGTTTTTTATCCTCTCTAACAACAACACTGCAAAATAAGATAAACCACGCTGTAGATCAAATTTCCTCAAAAATGATATTACATATGCACACCAGAACCATTGGTACCTTCCTGAATTGTTCAAGTCAATCCCCCCCAACGTCAGATTTACTTCAACGCCTCTCTGAGGAATTGCACTCTGCATATATATATAGTAAAAATTTAGCAATTGAAGAAGGAATCATATACTAGAATCTTGAACAAAGAAAAAAGATGCTGTCAAATATAGCGATGATCTGAGATTGTGGCCAGATTGATACAATCAGAGAAATATTTGTGACCAGTCATGGTAATAAATTACATGGTTTCTTAATTAAGGAGCACTTCACCATGCAATGGTTAGACTTAACATAGCTGTCTGTTAGCATAAGTGTTTGTTTGCAAGACTGGTCACTGGACCGGATGGGATTAGATGACTACGAACTATTCATCCACCTAGGCTATTGTGTTGGACTAAGTTAAGGAACTACTATTCAAGTTGTTCCGCTCTTGTGCTCAACTATTTATCTGGACTCCATTGTCAGTTCCTATTTTTGGCATAGTCAATTAGTCCTGTTTTAAGAGCCAGTTTTTGAAAAGAAGTACGAACAATTCACAAATCAATTACCAATGTATAAAATAGTGCAATAAATATTGAATGACAACAGTTTCAGGAGATGCAAAACATTCTTTCTTTTAGCTTAAAGCTTGTGGCTTAGTGATGCAGCAAAATATCAGATGATAGTAATGTGTAACAACTAACAAGCTAAAAAAAAGTTAAAAATAACATTGAATAAGTACAAAGCTAGAGAGATGTGGCAAATCCCTACTTAAAGAGGAAAGAACAAACGTCATATATATCCAATGAAGATAGAGAGATGTGACAAATCGCTGCTTAAAGAGAGAAGTATATGACAATGGTTCTTTTAATCTCTCTAGGTTGTTGGATATATAGGATGTTTGTTCCGAATGTGGTTTTTAAGGGCTTAATATTTTGGACCATTAACCCGTCTTGCTAATACGTCATCTCTATCTATCATGATAAAATTGTCGGTCTAGGTTGAAAAACAGGAATGACAGATACACGATGCGTGAAGGAGACAGAGAAGCAGTAAAGACATAAGAACTCATCAACATTTCTCAAAAATAAATAAATTGGGAAAGATAACCAACGGGATCATTCTTAAAGAACACCAAAGAAGTGCGTGTGAGAATAAACCAGCGCTTCTTCCATGACTTCCAACCTAATCCTGATACAGCAAAAGAGTTGGTGTGAAAGGAAACAAAATTATGTGAGTATTCAAAAAAGGATATACAAGTATAAGTTACAAGAACACACAGCACAGACCTGTAACTTAATTGCATAACCTCCTTCAGAGAATCAAGTTCACAATTGTATGTTTTGCAGAATACGATAATAGACAAGGCCCGGAATTAGCTAATTATCTAGATTATGACGCATGTACCCTTATGTAATAACAACTTGTATACATGCATTTCTATTCTACGACTGTTTCAAACTTTTCTAATAATCTTATTAGAAGAAAATCAATCAGAAAGCAGATACAACGAAGCCACAAATCTTCAACATAGACAATAAGATAAGTGTGGGGATATGCATAACTAGGTGTATGAACTTCCCCACATTAATTTAGGCCCATGAACTTCATAAATTTATGGGATTATGAACTTGTAAAAAACATACCGGCCTGTTGTGGTGACCTTCAATTAGACCGTTTTACTCTATTAGCATTCATCCTTATACCACATACAAGTTCAAAAGAATGAAACTGAGAGATTCGTTTTGGAGATGCTAGAGGTCGAAATCAAAAAATCAAGTTTCAAGTGTGAGCTCCTTTTCTTCCCTATTTTGTTAGTCAAGAAGGATGAAAGCTGGAGGTTCTAAGTGGATTATAGAGCTCGATTTACATGATGCAAGAACTTTGTCAAAGATCAACTTGAAATCAAGTTACTATAAGACCCATATGAGGCAGCAAGACATTGCCAAAATTGCCTTTGGGACCCATAAGGAGCATTACAAATTTCTAGTAGTGCCTTTCGGCCTAACAAATGCGACAACCACATAGTACGATGAAATGGCCTTCGATGGAGCAATTGGAAGTAGACAATTTTTGCTATGGCGAGGCAGCACAACAAGCTTTTGAGAAACTAAAGCAAGTGATGACATTAAGACAGGTCTTGATTCTACCTAATTTCAGTGAGTTGTTTACAGTAGAGAACTAGAGGTTGATGCTTTGTGGCATGGGTTAGCGGCAACAGGAACAACCACTTGCATATTTCAGCAGGGTATTGGCTGCCCTAGCTATGCACAAATTGATGTACGAGAAGGACCTCATGGTTGTTGTCTTAGCAATCCTAAAATGGTGCCCTTATCAACTCGGGATGATGGTTCATCATTTGAATGAACCAACGCAGCCTTGAGTTTCTCTTAGAGCAACAATGAGTTGTGACTGAGCATCAAAGGTGGCTCTCTAAGTAATTGGAATGTGATTTTGAAATTCAGTAGCGACCTGGGGTAGATAACAAATGTGGCAGATGGTTTATCACTCATTCTAAGGATCCAACACAAGTTTCGATGGTAGTGTTATCGAGGGACATTTAAGCATCCTCAAGCCGTATTGGCAGCTAGCTAGAGGGTTATATTCGGTGCATGAGAAGAGATGTGGAGCAAATGATAGTGAGTGGCCACTGGTGCCGACAACACAAGTATATGTCCATCACTCCGAGTTGATTCTTGTAACGACCGGAGTTGCCATGCAAAGCATGGAAGCAAGTCACTATGGATTTCATTGAAGGTTTCCAAAGATCAAAAGGGTGGCGGTCTATCGTTAGAGTAAGTACAGGCATTTTATTCCTTTGCGACACCCTTACACCGTCGTGACTATGGCAGCGGCGTACATGCAGAAGACGATAAGGCTGCATGGGGTTACAAAGTCAATTGTGATAGCTAGGGATAAGGTATTCCCTGTGTTGTTAATCACGCCGCTATGATGGTGCTATTGCCGTTGAGGTCAGCGATGGAAAAGTGGTGGCAAAATGATGGTGGAAATCGTGTTTGCCATTTACCACTATTTTGACCGTTATTCGACTAGCTCCAGAACTCAACTATATTCATGGTTTTTACTTCTTTGGCCCTCTTCACCACAGTACCGTGAGTAGTCGTTCTTCTTTTTTCTTATAATTGTTAGTGGGTTCATCATTCATCAGTCCATTGATGGGTTCTATTCAAAGTTCTTTTTAGTTGTACTTTGTTAAAGAACTTATGGGTTTTTAGATCGACTGTGCTTCTAGACAATCTGTTGTTGACTCGGTTAAGACTTCCATACTGTTTTAACTGTTAGTGGGTCCATCACTTTCATACCGTTATAGTTTGTTTTTGTGTTTAGCCTTGGCATTTTTTATTTATAAACCACCCAAGCATTTATCATCAACCAAAGCCTTGTTCTAAGTTGATGTTTTAATGTTGAAACTATATATTTTACTCAATAGATCTATGCTGTCACAGCGGTCAAAATACAAAATAGCGGTCAGGACCGATATTTGAAATAGCGGTTATAGCGGTGGGATAGCGGTTCATATAATGTTTTTTAGAATTATATATAATACATATATGCATGCATACGTAAACATATCATATGCATTAATTAAAAATATAGTTTCAACATCAAAACATCAAACAAGTTTCACAAAACAAAATAAGAAAAGTGTTCATAAACTCAATCATCCAGTAAATAAGATTTACTTTTTGTTAAATACAGGAAAAGCGGAGGCTGGAAAAAAGAGTCGAACACTATACAACTTGGTTGACCTGGAAAAAAATTGAAAACTTAACTAAGATGGAAAAAGAAGTCGAACAGTATCCAACTAAAGGCCCAAATCTAATGAAAAGGATGTTGTTAATGTTAATGGATTTTCTTAATAAAAGCCCAAGTCAGGCCAAAAAAATAAAAGCATAGTTCAAAAAAGGCCCAACCGATAATACCGCTATTGCGGACCGCAATTTTAACTAAATATCGGTCAAATAGCAGTCAATTACGCCGCTATTATCGGAAACGGTATTTAGAACAATATTTGGCCACGACTATTCGGCATTTGTCCGCTAACCGATACTGCGGCTGCTATTTCACTGCAATTAACAGCATAGCAATTGATATAATATATTAAATTATACATACACATATACATATAAAATTCTAATTGTTATTCAGATCGCTTTTACCATCGTGATATTTGCTACATCAAATCTAGTCATGACCGTTATTTCAGATTTTGACCGCTTTAACAGCATAGGGTATTCCCAAGAAATCTTTCGAGGGAGCTATTCAAAATGTAGGAAATTGTCTTGAAAAGACGAAGTACCCTTTAGCAATGGTTGGGCAGTGATCTTTTGTGGTAGTAGGGGTAGAATTGGAAGGACACAACCCCGACCAGCCGGCTCACAACATTTCACCCACATACATATGATCATTCGAATCGAATATGGTAAACCGAAGCTTATAGAAGCATTTGAGATGTTTTATTTTGATACTCCAATGCAACAGCATTAGCACATGACTCCTTTTAAGGTGCTCTATGTCTGTGATCCTCCTCATCACATATACTACGTTCAAAGTCAGACCCTAGTTCACGAAAAACAACCTCTCTACTCGGGGATAGAGGAAAGGTTGTGTACATCTTACCCTCCCTAGACGCCACTCCGTTTGGGATTTACTAAATTCATTTGGTTTGGCTTGCTAAAGTAAGACCCTAGTTTCTTAAGTTGATCAATATTTGGAGGAGCTCAAGCAGCACCTATTAAGGCCCAACGCCTAAGGATGAATTAGGTGGATGGATATCATTGAAAGAGGGATTTTTGAGGTCGGTGGCAATGTGTACTTGCAACTTCAACTCTACAGACAAAAGTCAATAACATAGAGACGTAATGAGAAGTTATCACCACGTTACTTCAGCACTATTAAGGTGTTCAAACGGATATCAAGAAATTGTGTGTCGACTTTGGCTACCACCACCTCTATTGTTCACCATGTTCCACGTATTCCAACTACGTCAAGTCATAGGCAATCGCACTCGGACCCTAACAATTCCATCCACCCATAGTGATGAATTGAGGATATTGTGAAGTCGGCAAAGGTTGCAAGAGTTTGCTATGGACCTTTGATATTGCCTACAAATAAAAAGATATTAATTTGTTGGAAGGATTTGACCAAGTGCAGAAGACATGGGAACCCGTCAAGCTTGTTCACCTTGAGAACAAGGGTCCTCTTTTTAGGGGAAGGAGGGAGTTGGGGAACGATGTTATACACGAGCATGTACCTTGTCACCATGCAAATTTATGCTACACTTAAACCTAGGTTTTAATAAGATGAATCTTATCAAAGTCAATAAGAAAATAGGTTGTTCCCTATTAATAGGGTATTGTCGTATTGATGACATCAACTGCATTATGCAAGTAATTTCTTCAATAAAATTGTTTTAGTGCCAAGATTTGGGAGAGATCTACCTCTAGAAAGTAGGTCCATTATCCACTTCAAAATTGATTCAGTAACAATATTGGGTTCCTAGTAGTGGCTTGTATCAAAAAGAAGGGCATAGAGGATCACAAAATAAATATGAGGCAAGTGGTATGCCACTATTTTGAAGAATGCTAAGTTAACAGTTACATGCTTAACCTATTAACGACATCTTCCCCGGGGCAAAAGAACATTTGTTGTATTATGCATTGACAATGTTGTCATGTTCCTTCCACTAACTTTATGGTTGGAGGAAACATGACTCCCTCCTACCTCTACAGGATTGGCATTCTAAAGTAGATTTGAAGATCAAACAAAAAGTACGCTTCAAAATCAAATAAACTAAAAAAGAAACTAGTTTGTTTCCTTCCATTTGCCTGCTCCAATACTTTTGGCCTAATGTAGACCCAATCCAAATATAATGTTAATTACATTGGGAATATGTTTTGTAGTTGCATACAATTCAACTAACTCAAACAATCCATCAATGAACTTAAGTTTATCCTCTGGTTCTTATCCAACTACTATTTCTACAAACTAATCAAGCTCAGAATGCTGCTCTTAAGGAGCCCCCGTAAACTAAACTTCAGTATATATCATGCTCAACAGCTCAAACTAGCAGTAAATGTGCTAGCACTTTGTATCCACCATATACAGGACTTCCACTGCCTATAGCCCTCTCATTTGTCTTGTATCAAATTGTCAATTTAGCTAACACATTCTGGCTTTAGATCAATATATAACATAGCACTCGTAGTAAGTATCTGCCTAAATTAGTGTCTTATTACAAGGAAGTTCTATCGTGAAAACACCGGCGAATGGTTGAGGCTCATGCCAACCTTAAACGAGTTGATAATTAATATTCTCCCTTACCCGTATTTTCTAGACATCAACAAGCATCAAAGCATATGGAATAGGCAACCAGATGTCTAGCATAAAAATAACCTGGTTATGCATCCAGAAACTTAAACAAAAAATGCACACAAAGATACATATATTGCGAGGTAACATGGATACCGAAATTAAGATTATAAAGATAGTGATTTTCTTAAGAACACAACTCTAAACAAGGTTCAATCGTCGTTGCAGAAATGTCTTCCAGATTATAGCATATGTTTTGCAAGCAGAAAGGAAGTTAAATCTAAACAAGAAAACTTTAATTATTAGTGCATGATTGACGTTTAACTTTTATTTTTCTTTAATCAATTAAAAAGATAATCAGGCACAAGTATCCACAAATTCAAACAAAAGGAAGAACTTTTACTCACCTTTTGAAGATATGAACAGCGGCCCGCTTTTGAAAACCTGTAAATAATTTCCACAGATCCTCAAAAAGTTCAAAACTTCACTGCCACAACTACATTGTCTTTCAAAATGCTAATCTAATTCATCATAGACTGACTAAAACATATATAAAAAATAAAGATGGGAAACATGCAGCTAAAAAATTATTTAGTTTTGTGAATACAAACACTACATTTTCCATTTTTACTCCTGAAGAAATTACTCAAATCAAAATAAGTGAGGTACAGGTCCATCAGGAGTATCAAGCAGGTTCCCTCCTGACTTCAAAATCCGTATAAATTTTAAGGTTTCGTAACGAAATCAAACCCACATTAGACTTTATGAGGACATGATACCAACAACACAAAGTTAGGTGCTAAAAGTTGCGACCAAAACCCTTGTGAATTTCGAAAGGCAATTGCTCTCCTTTTGGAACAGAGGGAGCATAAGCATACACGAAAAGATCGGTGCTACCGATGAGCATTAAAATTAGTACCGTGTTTGTAGCTCCAATTCGGGAACGCTCGAACGCCGCCAATGAAGCAGACATTCTTAAGAAACATTGACGGCAACACAATCAAACATTTGAGATGTCAAGTGGGTTCGATAAGCACCCAACTGAGCAGAGACCCAGATCGAAGAAGACAGTTAAGGAGCAAAGAGAGCTCGGCAAGATCTAATCGAGTAGGGTTCCAAATTGAAGAGATGATGATTACGAAAAACGCACAAAAAAGCAACAAACCGCTGTTACCATCTTCACTTTCTCTCTCTATAAATGTAAAGATTAGGTAATAGTGGTTGCTTTTCACCTACTTTTGGCTGTGTAATAAGATTTATGTTTAAGAAATGGTTCTTGTTTGGCAAGCTTTTGGATGAATGGCAAAAGGAAAGCCAACTCAAAGGAGCAGTGGCATTTGGTTTTTTATGGGGAGGCTCTATTTCAACCCGTGATTCCAGGTAGATTTAGTGAAGAATTTTAATCAAACAAATTGCATAAAAAACGGGATGTAATTTTGTTTCAATTTTATTTTATTTTACAAGCATACTTTTGAAATTCATACTCAATAGTTTGTAATTGTAGTTAAAAATGTTTAACCTAAGTTCGAAACATAGTTGTGCATGCACGATATATGGATTCTCGAAAATATTGGAGCCATATTCGTCTAACCCTCCCATAAGCAAGAATGATTGTCTAAATGATGATTTTAAAGATCAAAATAAAATAAAATAAAAGTTGATAGCGGTTGAAACTAAACCCAATACTGAAAGAAAAACTCATGTAACATTGAACAAATAATGTAGCCACTAAATTGACAGTGTGATTTCTGAAATTGTTCACCAACGACCATCACAATGATAAATAACCAAAATCTCATAGATTTGGCATTAACCAACCAAGCACAAGGTTCACACCATGGAAAAGGTTCAACGTCTAACAAAAGCATGATAAAGCACACAAAACCATGAAGAAACTAACTAGGAAATCTGCAATATACGTTGGAGGATTTCGTGAAAATAGAAAAAAAAAATAGTAAGTAGAAAAACTTGGATAAAACTAAGATCATGTGAAAGCTCATTTTCTTTAAATTTTATTTCTGCCTAACTTTGCAAGAGTATCACGAAATTAACTCGAGGATAATCTCAATTTTCCAGTAATGATTTTGGCAATAATCCTTATCATTTAAACTTAGAGAATCATAATTGTTCTTATATTAAAATGGGAGAATAACTCGTTAAATGGAAATGATTGTTTGGAGTAACTGATGGACGGTTAACTACATATTGATTAAAAACTGCTTACATGGATAAAAAGGCAGCTCAAAAATACTTCAAAGCCAAAAGCTTTATAGAGTCAGAAACCTCTAAGTTAAAACTACTTCATAATCAAAAGCATCTAAACAAGACTTAGAGGTCGTAAAAGAGGACTCAGAAGTTTTTTAAGAGGACTTTAGAGGCTTCTGAATTTCACTTAGGAAATTGAGAAGCTCGATTTTCATTCTTTTCATAAACTCCGTTAAAGGAGGTGCCTCTTCGACCCCACAAGGGGGTGCAATCCCATTAAGCTCAACATATTCGCCATCTAGCGATCTCGTCTTATAGTTAGCTTACACTGGTCCTCAGCCATGTTGTAGCATAACTAATCCGACTACATAAAATGAACTGATGATTTCACTAAAACCATCAACAACGTAGATATTAAACACGCCTATCCTCGCCATAAAGAACATAAATGACAGTGAATGATTCACAAAACCAAACAACAACATATATGTTTCCGCTGCTTGAGATGATGAAAGCTCTTATTAAACTTGTCCCCTAAAGACCCTCTTGTAAATAATAACTCAATGAAGCCAACCAAGCCAATTGAATCAATTCTCACCATTATCACTCGATCATTATGACAACCCGAGCCATTTGACATATCTTTTAACCTACAAAGATGAGAACCAAAATTGTCCATGAGGCTTTGATAAATATCACAAGAATGGACACTATAACACCTTTTTATCATCTTATTCATTTATCTTTACTTCCCAACTATAATTAATTTTGTGTCCTTTTACCCTTCTGTTACTTCTAAATTGTGTCTAGAGCTAATTTGTAGAAATGGTAACATTTGTGATTTGTTTGTTGAAGAATGGAATGGTGGGTTTCTATAATAGGTTGTCATAGCAAGTTAATCAGGAGTACATGAAGGATTTTGTTGCTAGCTGACACTTTTGTTGATAATGATGGTGTTAATACTCGTTCAAGATATAGCTGAAGTGTATACCTTGTGGATATGGCCTTGAAAGTTCTTTGAATATTTTATTTCTATGTCTTTGCTTTTGTAATACTTCTTGGATAATACCTTCTGAACCCTATGATTTTTGTATTTTCTGGCAATCTCTCACTTGTATTAATAGAGATATGCTAATGTATTTAAGTAGATCAGAATTTCTTCGTGTTGTAATCAATTTGGAACAAAAGTTCTTTTTCTTGCCAAAGGGGAGAATGAAATTGCTCTTCTTATTTTCCTTTCATGTAACTTATATTCCCTTGCATTAAATTCCATGTCCTCAATTTCAATTTCTAAAATGTTAATGGGTTGAATACTCTAGCTTGGATGTGAGGAAAGGTTTGGATAATAAACTTACATGTAAATGGCTATTGCTCCGGTGTTTCAATCAACTCCGTCTTTGAGTTTAGGTCATAGTGTTCCATTTGAGAATTAACCAACAAGTTAACAATCTATTAATTTTTCACAAATGAGTTGGACTTATAACCAGGAAACATAAACATAAAGTTTTTCAATGCTATAAAAGTTGGGGTTTGTATTATGATTAAACAATTTTATGTCATGGCAACAAAAGCAAAAACATACAACAATTTTAACCACTTCAATTTCTTACCAAGGATCCACATGCATGTAATTTAAGAAACAAAAACACAACATAGGGGGTTTTAGAAAAATAGCCTTTAAAGCATGAAACTGTAACACCCTTGTTTTTGCAGTTAATCGTTTAAAGATGTAGATTTGTTTTAGCAATTCATTTGGTGCCTAGCCATTATTGAATGTTTATGGCATTTACATTCAAGGGGTCGGGGTTGAGTTGTGATGAAGAAAAGTTGTTTCGAAAGTCATCTGGGGCATTAAAGACCTCTCGTACAAGTGGTCGCACGAGAAGTCGTAAAACAACTTAAACACACAAAGCATAGTGTCAAGTTGGTGCCAAGTGACTTAAGTCTCTTCACAAGATGCTTGAGAATTTGAAATGCTGATTTTTGTGTTTGGATGACTTTCCAAGAGACTTGAGTCGCTTCAAGCCTCCATAAGCCCTTGGATAGATTTTTAAGCCTCTTTTAGCTAGGGTTTGCTCGCTATCTCTCATCTCTTTATTTCTCTCATCCTGGGAATGATTCTTGAGCTACTTTGGGATGATTCTTAAAGGGTTTTTTTTAGGGCAAATGGAAGTATTAACATGAGATTAAAGATTCTTGGTGGTTGATTTCAAGATCTTGAAGAGGTAAGATTTTTGGGTATTTTGAGATTCAGTTTAGGTTTTCTTGTAGATATGGTCTTATGGTGGGTTTTGGTGTTTTTTTGGGTTTAGATGGTTGTCATGTGAAGTTTCTTGGAGTTTTCTACTTATGGATCTCAAGCCTTCATCAACGGAAGCTAGAGTTTGGATTTTGGAATCTAGGTTTAACCTAACCTAATAAGGTGAATTCGAGTTGCTTTGTAATAATTTTATGCATGCTAAAAATGTCCATTTTTAGGTCTTAAGATATTTTACTTGATGTTTATCAAATGTGTGGTTTGTAATTAGTCAAGAGTATAAATACCTTGTATTAGCTTAGTTTATAAGCAAACCTTTCGTTGGTATATCATATTAGAAATTGTAGAGAGATAAATATTGTAGAGAGGAAGATTTTAATATACATGATGATTTGGATATTGAATCTTGTTAATATTGTTTGAATTCTTTGTTACTTGATTCAAATATGGGATTTTCAAAGGCATCTTAGTGTATTTGGTTTTATAAATCGTTTAGGAAATGCACATTATTGTGCTATAAGGCACCATAGAAATATAAAAATGTGTATTTCATTTGGAAAATGATTTATGTAAAAAAAAGGAGAGTTTTTTGTGTCAACTATACTTTTAGAGCATGTTCTTGCATAAACATGGGTTACATGCGTTTTATAGTTTATAGTTGACTTCTATTTGAGTAGTCAATTAAGTGGGGGAGTTATTGCCTTGATTTTGGCCCATTTTTGAGTTTCGAGGGACATTTGTCCAATTTAATTTGCTCATTGATTTAGCTTGGGCTTGATTTGTGTTTATTGCATCTTTATTGATAATTACGTGCTCTAAGTGTATTGGTCATTCGATTGGGGTTATGTAGTATAGATTGTAGTTAAGTAAGGAGTTTTGATGTTCTCATTTGTAGACTGAGATTAAGTAAGCTATGTGGTCGTCGCGGTATTGCAGAGAAGAACTCTTATGAGTTGGACTCCAGGACCATGGTCGGTATTGTGGAAAGGAACCCATGTGGATTGGACTCCTGGAACGTTGTCGGTATTGCTGAGAGGAACCGTGTTGATTGGACTCTGGGATCGTGGGTATTGCGGAGGTGATCTCTTGTTGAGTTAGACTTTCTGACCCTGGATATTACGATGATGAACAAGTGAGGAGTCGGGGCACGGGGACCCTCGTTTTTTAGGCTTTGGCGAAGTAGAGTTGACACTAAGTCACCATGGGGTATATTGGGGACGAACTCGTGCAGAGTCAGGCCCTAGGACCATTGGCTTGTAAGCGTATGTCTATCTTGTGTAAGTAGGCACTAAGGTTGGGGGTATTATGGAGATGAACTCATGTGGGGTCAGGCTCCAGGACCTTAGATTGCAGTAATGAACTCGTGAGGAGTAGAGGTTCTAGGATCGTGACCTTAGGATGCTACTTGACGATGTTGATGAATGAGTTACTTTGTGTTTTGCCACGATAAATGGAAACGAGTTTCCCCCATCACTGAAAGGTGTTGTTTTGGGTATTAAATACTATCCATGTTTCCACTGACGTTTTGAGTATGGAGTGTATCCATAATTTGTGATTTTAGGTATTAAGCATTACTGTTGATCCAAACTCTCAGTGAATTTATGATGATCTTATACTTAGTAAAATACTTAGTTATACTTTGTTTGTAGTTTCAGCGATTAGGTTGTATCTGAATCTGTTCAGTGATCGTTGAATATCTCTTTGTAAATGCATTAGAACTTAAGTTTCCTCAAAGACAAACTCACATCAAAGAAGATTCAGTGATATCGAAGAACAAGATTAAGAAAAAGATAGTCTACTCATGATCTGAAGCGACATTCATTGATACCATGACTATCTACATTAGATGTGAAATCTGACCAAGATA